CCCCTCCCCCTCTCCCACCTGACCTCATCTCTCTCCTCCATCCCATCTCCCTCCCCATCTTCCTGCTCCATCACCCCTGCTCATTCCCTCCCCACTCCCCTCCTCTCCCTCCCCCCTCATCCTGGCCCAGGGCCTGGAGGGCAGGGGCAGGTGCTCACATAGCAGAAGTGCTTCCTGTCGGTGTCCTGCACACAGATCATCTGGGAGTTGATGACCCGAACCAGGGAGGGGATTTTGGAGAATCGGTGGTAGAAGTCCTCACACTCCTTGCTGTTCAGGATTGTGACCTCCTTCTCCCGGATGGTCCGGAACTGCGGCCATGTACCTGTGGACACGCCCCCATTCAGGGGGGGCGGGTGGCTGCCACCTGCCTTGTCGCCCACCCCCTCGGCTCCTCACCACGCCACACAGCAGCCAGGGAGGGGGGATCTCCAGGTTCAGCCCACCTGCCATCCCAGCCCACCCTCCCTCAGCACCCCTTGAGAGGGACCCCAGGCAGCGCTCCCAGTCTGGCCTCATTGGACCTGGTTTACCTCCCGCAGAGTAAACCAGTTTACCATCCACTGAGTCCATTCCTAAGTCAGCAGCTTGGCTTCTGCCCTTCCTTCTACCCCAAGGCCCTCCTCAGAGGCTCCTCCCCTGAGCTTGCCCAGCGCCCCTCCCCAATTCCCCAGCACAGCTCCCTCCCTCCCCTCCGCCTGTCAGTCCATAGCCTGAGACGGGAACTTCTGATCATCCCCAGCCATTGACAGCTGGGGCAGGGAAGACAAGAAAGCCAGCCCCTCACCTGGGCTGGAGCCCTGTGGCCGTTTCAGACAAGCTGCTCCCGTGGGAAAGGCTAAGGTGCCTGAAGGGAGAGGGCATTCCCGGGCTCCTAAGGAAAGGGACCCTTGAAGGGCCGGGACAGCACTCCTGCTCTGGGCCTTGCTCCTGAATTGGGAGAGCATGTGCGTGGCGGGGGCGTGGGGCGCCCCCCTCCCCCCCCCCCCCCCCAGTGACTCCCAGACTCTGGAGCAGGCTGCCGCGGGCCTCGGGGGAGCTCGTCCCCTACACGGACCCTGCTCCTCTCACCTCCACGTTCTGCTTCAAGGCACGGCCCCCCTGGAGCTGTGCAAACAGCAGCGCCTACTCTGCACGCTCCTGCCTTGGGAAGCCCTGTCCACATGCCTGGTCTGAGTGCTCACGGGCATCTCTGCCCCCACGGCCTGAGGCCAGGGCGTGCTCACTGCCGAACCCTCGGCCGCAGCCGGCGTGGCTCAGAGGTTGAGCAATCTATGAACCAGGAGAAAGGGTTTGCTTCCCGGTCAGGTTGCAGGCTCAATCCCCAGTGGGGGGCATGTAGGGGGCAGCCGATGAATGATTCTCTGTCATCATTGATGTTTCTCTCTCTGTTTCCCTCTCCTTTCCTTTCTGAAATCAATAAAAACATAATAAAATTTAAAAAAGCCCGACAGGAAGGCGGGAGCAGGGGGCTCCCGGGATGATGTCTCAGAAACATCTGTCCAAGGCGACCCAGCTGTGCCAGGCCCGCTCCCACACCCGCCCTGGTCTGGAGGTGCACCTCACCGTTCGCCCTGGGGAGCCCCCAGCCCGTCACGGTGCAGATGGAGAAGTCCTTCACCCTGTAGTCCAGGCCGGGCAGGCAGATGGGCCAGACGTACTTGCTATAGTTGAGCGTTCTCTCGAGCTGCAGCAGGGCGATGTTGTTGGCCTGGCCCACCCAGGACCAATAGCGCCGGGACCGGAACCGGCTGTTCAGAATGACCTCGCGCACCCTGACATCGGCCGTAGTCTGAGCCCTCTTGTCAAGCCAGGGGCTCCCCACCCGCACGGAGTAGGTGACACCTTCCCTAGGGAAGCACCAGGGAGTCTGCCATCAGCACCAGGCACCCCACCCCGGCCCTGACCCACTGCCACTCTCCGGGAAACCCAGGCAGGCCGCCCACCGACTGCAGGCCCCTGAGCCTCTCCTCACAGCAGAGGTGAGCGGAGCCCTGCACACACAGCGTGGCCGTGTCCTCACAACAATCCATTTCCATGGGGCAGGCCCTGAGCCTCTCCTCACAGCAGAGGTGAGCGGAGCCCTGCACACACAGCGTGGCCGTGTCCTCACAACAATCCATTTCCATGGAGGGGAAACCCAGGGACCAGCTCAGGGCTACCAGCTGGAAGTGGTGGAGGTGGGACGTGGGCCGAGTGTTCTCTGGATTCTGTCCCGGCCAGTGATGCGCCAGGAAGTGGCAGGCCCTGCATGGGCCCTGGCCTCGCCCTCGGGCCTCCTTCCCCAGCATGCTCTGCAGTCTGTGTGGACCCTTAGGCCCGATCACAGCCCAGCACCCTTCTGCACTGGCCAGCCCTCATGGCCAGCACAGGCGTCACCTCGGGCCGCCCCCCGGGCACCAGCGCAAGGGCATGCCCTCCCTCTTGTCCCCACACTGACTAGCCGCCCCTGCGAGCACCTGAGGAAGTGATGGGTCCTCTCTGGCCCCCAGTGCCCAGGCCAGGGCCTGGCTGCCAAGGAGTGCCAGGGCTGTTGGTCAATGAAGGAAGGAAGGAGTAAGGGAAGCAAGGTGTGTGGCACCAAAGAATTAGGGCCTTCTTTCTTGGAAGCGGGCTCAGGACCCAGGCTCCCAGGGGGAGCCAGCGCTCTGCTCCCAGGAAAGACTGTAGAACTGAGCTCCGCCTGCTGGGAGCTGGGGTGAGGCTGGGCCTAGGACTGGGGGCTCTGCCCGGGCCCAGCTGCCACAGAGGGGCCAGCTGGTGGGAGGACGGGGCCCATGTGGCTCCAAATGCCTTTCCCCGCCCACCAGGCCCCGACTCACTGGGTCAGGCAGTGGGCCACGGTCAGCACCCACTGGGCGGCGATGAGGGCGCCTGCGCACACGTGTGTGCCGTTGGCCTGCACGCTGACCATCCACGGCCACCGCCGAGCGATGGCCTCTGGGTCCCTGAGGGTGGGGTCCTGCTCCTGGGATGCGCCGCAGGCTGAGGAGGGAGGGGAGCCTGATGAGGGAGGGACTGACAGCCGCATCCCAGGGCACCGCCCCACCCCCAGCCCTGTCTCCCACTCTCCAGCCTCCTGCCAACCCCCAATGACTCTCCTTTCCTACTGGTCAGAGTGTAAAGATGCTGCCCCCAGGTGGACCGGGGCATCCAACCTCCCAATGGCCTCAGCTCCCAGGCATCCATCTCCCTGTCCCATGCGGGGCTCAGAGCACTCCCCTGGCCCCCTGGTCCTGCTCCCCTGGCCCCCTGGTCCTGGCCCCCTGGCCCCTGGCCCCCTGGCCCCCTGGCCCCTGGTCCTGCTCTCCTGGTCCTGGCTCCCTGGTCCTGCTCCCCTGGTCCTAGCCCCCTGGCCCCTGGTCCTGCTCCCCTGGTCCTGGCCCCCTGGTCCTGGCCAGGCCCTCACAGACTCCCCGGCTTCGACCAAGGCAGACCCTCTCCCTCTCGGGGAACCCCTCCTGTGGTTCAGAGAAAGGCAGGTGCCCTAACAGGAAAGTGGGCCGCTGCACAGACACAGCCTGGGAGGGCCCTGGCCACAGACCAACTCGGAGCACGGACTGGCCTCCCGACCGCGGACTTGAATCACGAGGCTCCTTCCACGCCAGGCACCTGCCAGGCAAAACTAAACGTCCCTGATCCCACTGTGGTGAGGGCTCTCTCAGCTGTGACCCAGGGAAGGGGCAGGGCCTGCATGTGCCAAGGCTAAGGCGGGTCCTGCGTGGGGTGTGGGGTGTGATGGGTCCTGCATGGGGTGTGGGTGAGAGTTACACCGTCTACACTGAGCTCCAGGATAAGCCTATTTCCGGGGGGGACTCAGTTGCTGGCCTTGAAAGCCACTATTCCAGGCCAGGCGTGCGTGCTGCCCAGACACCCCGAGGCTCCCTAAGCGCGGAGGGGAGACACCCGCCACCCCCCACTCCCCACCCCGCAGCCCGGGGCTGGGAATTGCCCGCCCCGGCCCTAGTAGGTGCTCAGTTAACACCCGAAAAGCAGGCAGCTCTCTTCTCACTCCTGCTTGTCCGTCCTCCTCCGTCCTTTCT